CTTTCCTACGTGTCATCGGAGATCCCCATGGGGGTGCAGCCTGCAGCCGGTATCTGGTCATGAGTGGGGCGTGGAGGGGGGGGACGGGACATCGGAGGGAACCCCTCTTCCCACCGCAAGCCTGGCTGAGCGCAGCTCATCTGCCCCAAATACCAGCTGGAACCCCTCTTCCCACTGCAAGCCTGGCTGAGCGCAGCTCATCTGCCCCAAATACCAGCTCCAGGAAAGCTCCTTCTGCTGGGGCTTCGGGCTGGGCAGATGGCACTGGAAGCTCTCACTGTTGCGTAGCGTTTCCCCAGTCATGACCCCGATCCTCTCCCCACCTTGCTGAGAGCAAAGCCTTTGCCCTTGGCCTCCAAGCTGGGACCCGGCTCAGCCGGGGGCCAGGCAGAGCTCAGGTGCAGCCCTTCTTTCATGACCTAATGGGAAACTGCCCTCCCAAAGGGCTCTGGTCCCCCCCAAACCCCAGTGAAAGGGTGCAGCATTAATTGACTCTAGCATAGACATGGCAGGTCACAGCCACAAGCGCATTTTGGCTATTATTTTTAAAACCTTGCTTTTGTAACAGGAACTTCGTAAAGGAAATATGGTATATGGCAAAATCCAGGGCCGGGTGAGCTGCGGTTTGTGACAGCACCTCCATTTCCGACAGGCTGTTCCTATCCCTTGCTTTGGTTTCGTTTGTCATGCAGCCCGAAGGCTTCTTCAGCGCGGCGGGGAGGACGTGCAGTCACCCTGCTGGTGGCAGGGCACCCACAGCCCCAGCCCTCCCCGTTCCCATGCCCCAGGCAATGGGTGTGACAGGGGGGAAGCTGTTTTAGCCGACTCCCAGACTAACCCTCCACGCAGGTGGGCCAGAAAAACGCGCGTCCCAGGACCTCTTTTAACTCCCCTCCCAGCCCTGCAGACCTGATCCAGCAGAGCACCGAAGCACGTGGACACATCCGATGGTGGGAGCGATCCTTTTGGCTTCCCGAGAGCTGGATGGGACCCTGGCACGTTCAGCCTTCTGTGGTGTCCTCAAAAAACAGGTTAAAAATGGAGCTGAGGCCAAATCCTGGCCTGGTCCACCCGAGCTTCTTACGGAGGCTGCAGTCTGCTCATCTGGAGACCTTTTCCGAGCAGAAGGCACCCCGTAGAGTGGTTGCTCCGAGGCTTTTCCCAGCCTCGCGCTCCTTTCTGGTGTTTCATGTCACAGCTCGGGAAGGGGCTTTGGCACCTTCTGGAGCTCATTTTCCTGGCAGCTAATGGAGCCTTAAATACCCATTTGGGGCTTCAGGCTTCACAACCGACAGTCGCCTCTGATGGGCTATTTTTGCAGTAATAGGAAAATTGCTGGGCTTTTTTTTTTTTTTCCTCCCCCTTCTGAGCTCAAAACCAGGACCATGCCACTTGTTACAGCCTGTCTGTTTATTGGAAAGTGTTTGTTTTCTTCCTTTTGCTTCCATGTTTATCTCGGGTGTCTTGCCTCTAATGAGGACCATGTGTCCTCCCAAGGGTCGTTGGCATTGTTCTCCCTAAGAGAAGATTTCCAGGGTTGGCCCACTTGGAGAAAAAACTCTGGGCTTGTAGGAAAGTTGCATTTCGTATAAACTCTGCAGCCAAGAGGACTCAAACTCTGGAGTTTGCTGCCTATGGTTGGGGAGGGCGCCGGGATCCTGCTCCATCCCTGGTGGGTTTTCAAGGACAGCTTCGGCACCGTGGGCAGGGAGGAGACCAGCCCTCCTGTGCGTGGAGGGATGGACTGCACGGGTGGATTTGAACCCTTTTAAACCAAAAACCCACCTGACTTGCATTTGGCAAAGCCAGACATCGTTTTTTCTTCCAAAGCCTTCCCAGCCCCGTCCCTTATCTCGTGCACCGGTGCTGCCAGCAGCCTCGCTCACCACCCTGGAAAAGCAGGGCTGAGCACCGGCGCGGCAGGGCCAGGTTTCGGCGCCTTGGCTTGCCGTCCTGTGCAAGCACCTGGGTGCATGGGTTAAAAAAAAAAAAAAATCAAACCGCTGGCTGGTTGTGTCTTACAGCCCTGCAGGCTGAGCGCCCTGGCTCGGCTGCCTGGCAGCCCTGGCACTGCTGCCTGCCCAGGCACGTGCCTTCCTGCTTCCAGAATGGCTGAAAAATGCAGACAGACAATAAAAAAAAGGGCTCTTTGCAAGAACTAAACCATTTGCCGGGAAATGAGCTTGTGCGAAGTTGTGCCTGGATTTCACGAGCTGAAAAAAAAAAAAACCAACCAACCCTGACCATGCTCGATTTATGTCCAGGAAAGGAGCGGGACGCGGGATTAGGTGATGCTGGTGACACCAGTGACACCGCGAGCGTGGGACAGGGCAGCCGGCGGTGTCGGAGGGCAGCGGGCATGGCGCACCAGCTCCAAAAAGAGCATCGTCGGTCGGTGTGAGCCACAGCCTTGAGCCAAGCAGCATCTCTTTATTGCCTTCATCAAGCATTGGGTCCGTCCCTTTGGGGATCGCCGGCACAGGAGCAATCTGGCGCGGAGGGGGCCTGCGGGGAATGACTGAGCAGTGCGAGGAGCCTGGGAGGAAGATGCGGTCGGGGGGGGGGGGGCTCACACGGCAGACGCCACCGCTTACGCGGTGGGGCGCTGGCCGGAGAGCCCTGAGCCTCTGGGCTATTTTGGTTCCTGTTTAGCAACATTTACAACTAAGCCGCATGTTGCAGGGATTTTTTTTATTTTCATTTTGATTTTATTTTCCTTTTTTCCAAGCTCA